CATCTCTGGCAAGCGGTTGAGCCATTCAACGATTTTTTCTCGGCAGAGAAATCATCATTCACGCCGGCACATGCTCCTCCGTGCAGGAAGTCTTGGCCTGTCCCGGAGTCAGTGAGTCTCCTCTCCTCTGAAGACTTGCTGCGGCTCAAATCTCCATGCAGGGGAAAAATAGCGACCTTGAGTTGATAGATCGGAGGCGGAGAATAGAATATTTTCAGACGCGTTCCTTCCTGACGTCGCGCCGTTAGGAATCAAGTGGCCTAGGACGCTAGTGCTCTTATGGCGAGAGATTCGGTCGTTCGCAGCAATGGTAGCGAATGGCTGGACTTTCGAGCGGGGACAGACCCTGGAACATAAGCGGAACAGTCATAGATTGATGCGCCTCCAGGTCGCAGAAGCCCGCCAGTCAAGGATCCTACTCATTTGAAGAAACTATAATATAATTAGGCATACATACGGAGACGAAGCAATCGATTGCCCTGCGGGGGCAGAATAATCGAGAACGACGCGACCTCGCATAAGCTCGACGACTTTTGACTTCCGGCATACCGGTGGCTCTATCGTGGGACGAGATGCGCGGTCCTCGGAGAAGCCGAGAAAAGGAAGCAAGGGGAAGAATCAGACATTCGAAATTGATCGCGCCCGAAGGAGGAACACGGAGCTGGGAGACCGGTGCCGTATACGGCGAGCCTCGGAGCGATCCTTCGATTCGGCATCCTCGAATTTAATCAGTGTGCTCCTCACCAACGATGCTGTTCAAATGACGAAGTTGCATGGTTCGATTTCGTATAGACGGACTCTGTCGGATCCTTCTCGATACTCCTCTAACCCGATTGTTGAGTTCCGAGTACAGCTGTTCGTTTCCAAAGTCAATGCAGTCGAACTAGCGGCTCTAATGATTGTGGGAGCTCCTGTAGACTCAGTGGCTGTGCTCGAGACGAATGTTGATGTTTTGCGGAACACGAACTGAGTGGAGCAAGAGTATGAGAATATCCAAAAGCACCACGACGCGACGCTGATTAAGTTAGAACGTCGCGACGGAGGAGCGATTGCTTGCGACACTGAGGACGCAGACAGCATCTCGTATCATGATATAGAGTCTCTTTTTTGGCCTTTATAAAAATCCTCGGTCTCCTCACTTGCTGGTCCGCTGGCAGTCTCGGCCACACGCTGCGGGATGTCTGGCTGCATCGTCCTGAATGGAATTCTCACGGCGAGACGTCTTCTGTGAAATGCGAGCAACGTGCGTCGGACAGGAATTGAATGCGGATTTTGAGTATCGGCCACTCGAAATAAATCGTGCTGACTAAGAGCAAGCGCTTTACTTTCAAGGTCGAGAACGTTCGAATGATTGAGTCTCAAGACGCCGCAGAGTTTGCCGGAACGGAAAATCAAAGAAAGCGTCCTCGTGCCCCTCCAGAGAATAACTCACACCAGAACGCTCCCGAGCCTGTGCAATGCGGGGGAGAGGCGTTGGCAGAGACACGGATATTTCGGGGAGAATGGGAGAGCCTTACCTAATTTCTTGGAAGCTTACTCTCCCATTCCTTCCGAACCTTCTCAAGTTTCCTATTCTTGCCCTGAGATTTCACTCAGCTCCACATGCCTCTGCCGCGCCGAGAGCAAAATGCGTTTGCGCAGGTGACGTTTCCTCCGAGTTCTCGTGAAACGATGGATCCGGTCGCTCAGCATTCGAATGTGATGACACATGTTGGGGATCCCACGCAGGGACTGCGAGGGGGAGAATGAAGGGGATTCGATGTGAGCGCCTTTTTCCTGTGGTCTCGCAAATCCAAGCCGCCAATTCCTCTTCCTAACATCTGTATCCACAGAAGGGAGATCTAGGTACCTAGGAGAATTGAAAAGAACCGTCTGAGCTCCTCAGCAGCTCGAATTCTCCATGAGATTCCGCTGTGGAACGACGGCGATGGCGCAGGTTGGATTATCCGACCGCAATCGGACGATGGAAACCCCCGACCGAATCACTCGGGATCCTTGAGACCTGCTCCGCGATATCAGTGGGAGCCAGAAATGATTTCCCGTCCAGGTTTACCATTCATAAGTATCATTGAAACATTGCTCTGTGGATTCGGGATTCCGTCAGAATCGGCTCTAGAGGAAAGGATTTGCTAGAACCGAGCCTCGTGCAACAACATCTCCGCTCGGTCTATCAGTTGTAGAATTTTACGGATTCGCTCAGATCGAAATTATAGCTCAGGATGCGATGGTCCGATGAAGGCACCGAAGGAAAGATAATATTTTGGATACTCCGAATTTAGGAATTATCACGGCTAATTATAATCGATTATGGAATTATCGTGAATATTGAATGAGTGCGCATTTATATTCGCTCGGATCTCATGTGCCTCACCGAGATCCGATTTGAAAATCGTCGCGTCGGCTGCGGAGCTACATAATTTCCATGCTGTACTCTTCGACGCAGCGCGATGAGAACGCTTCGCATCGAATTTCATGATTCGAGGAAATGAGCGAAATAACAGAGTCTCCTCGCCGAATTCAAGCTCGTCGAAGCAGCTCGTGGGTGCAGGAACGCTCCTCTGTTGCTGTGCAAGTTGCACCGGAAAGCCGTCCTTGAACGGCCCTCGGAGCTGAATTTTTTGTTTCCAATTTCCGGCCCCGCTCTCCGGGGTCTCTGTGAGGAGGACTCTGAAAATCTTCGTCCTCTACTCCTGGAGTCACTCGGACATCGACTTCGTATGTTCCTCTAGCTGGTTTGGGAAGGGACGTGAGGATTGAGAGAATCTGGGCACGCTGGATCCGACGGTCCCAATACTGAAATTTCAATTCACTTCGAAGTTTCATCGATATCCGGCGGCGGAAACTTCCGAGTGTACCCCTTATGCAATTAAATCGTTAAGCAAGAACGGGACGCGAGAACTGAACGACCTGCGAAGCTCTAGTGTGCTAACCCACTACGATGCCAGAACCCCGCACAGGATGTGTAAGAGTGCACTCTCGCTTCAGCCACATCTGATCCACTCGAAATGCCGGGCCGGTGTTATTATTTGTTCCCCCGGGGTCGCCCCCGTCGTGGGTTCGCCTCGCATATGTTGAATTTTATGAGAGGGAATTGATCCCTTTCAGAAGACGACACGGCACGACGAGCTGAATGAGAGAGGGAGTGCGCGTGGAGGAGACAAAGGCTGTCCCCTCTCGGATACGATCGTGTCTCTACTCTCGGAGTCTCGAGGTACATCTCTCGTTCGAGTAGGTACCTGGCAGGCTCTAGGCACGGACTCTACGAGGTGAAAAAAAAAGAGAGATAAATCGCCATTGTTTTCTAATGGTGTGAAAGTCCCCTATTGAGACCTGCATGTCCCTCAATCCCCGGGTCATTCGGTGTGGCCAGATCCTGCGTCGGGGTGCTCCCGAAGAGTCTGCGTTGACAGGTCTAACCTGTTTGAAAACCACTTTGGAGCGCTCAGGTAGTGCTCACGTCGTACCGATTGGTCCAACAGCGATTTGCGAGTTGTTGCCGTAGCGGGTCGGAGGGGCGTCTCGCTCGCCCCAAAGGCTCCTAGGCCGACGATAGACTCCCTCTCCTTTATAGGAGACCGATTGCTTGTCGAGGTTGAAGATCGCGGGCAAGAACCTCAAGGAAGAGACACAGAGTGAGTCCCTCCCGGGGAAAGATCACCGCTCGTACACGTCACGTGCGGGAACTCCGGATCGGGGCTGCCGCTGTCGAGCGATTGAATACGTCGTTGACTTCCATCGTGGAGGGTTTCTTGACGTGTTACGATTGAAGACTTCCACGAATCATTCGCGACATATTCCGTAGACCGCGAAGCATTGATCAGCGGGCAGGCATGACGGCTATTCCGGAGTCGATGATTTCCGTCACAACGTTTGAAGAGCTTTTCGCACGGAAACTATCGTTATGGGTTGGCGATCACGACTCCGAGACGCAACTCCCTCTCTCCGCCTGCCGCTCACGCTTTTTCTCCTTCTCTCTCTCTATATCACGTTCCAGCTCCATTCACGCCAGACTCGGCGATCGTTTAACGACACCGTCCGCGCCGACGTGCAAACCACCGGGCCCCATCGATTCGTTCCGTCCCGCGCAAAAAGCTCTTCGAGTCCTCCATGCAGTGCCATGAAACGCTCACGAGACCCCGCGCGACGGCTCACGTGGAGAAGCGCGGCCCGCTTAGTCATCTCGAAGAGGAGATTCCGCAACGAGCCAAGTCTCAGAGAATTTGTGGCAAGCGGGAATACCGGCCTCGATCGGATAGCTGCAATCGATCCGCGAGAATCCTTCCGACGGGTCGTGTGGTTTGCTGTTTTGGTGGCCCTCGTGGCATTCACGGTGTACTTCGTCGAGGAGATAATCAGAGATCGCTTCAAATTCCGGACAGCATCGAGCGTCAAGGTGGTAGACGACCAGAGGATTCTGTTTCCAGCGGTGAGTTTCTGCAATTTGAACCCGGTGAGAAAGAGGAGCCTGTGTGCGAAACGGAACTTTTCGGTCGTCGATTCGTACAAGGAGCAGAGCAAGCTGTGCTCGACCGTTCTCACGCAAGAACAGTACTACAAATCTCTGAGCACGCTGATTTCGAACGAGAGAAATTTGACCTTTGAGGAGATGGGACACCCGCTGGAGGGAATGCTCGTCGATTGTTTCATCAAGGGTGAGCGACTTTTCCGAATGATTCTCCCCGGGATTTCGATGAGGAAATTCGCAAGCCAAGACGCATGTGATGACTTCTTTCGCAGGCGAGCCTTGTAATCGTTCGGAAATAAGCGAAGTCATCCAGCTGCAAGGGAAATACGGTCGATGCTTCTGCATTTTCTGCAAATCGGAGACACCGGTCGAGTTTACCCGAACCGATGAACCCATCGAGGGCTTCAATATTATATTGCGGACTCAATTCGAGGAATACATCCCTTCGACGATAGCCGAAGGCTTCATGGTGCTGATACACGGTCCGCGGGTCGCTCCCGATGACGACGAAAACGGTATTTTTGTTTCACCGCGCATGACGACTTTCATCGCAATGCAAACCAGGAGAGTTTTCCGTCTGGGGGCTCCGTACCCGTCGAGCTGTTCCGACGATTGGACCCACGATAAGCTCCCATCGTGGGTGAATAAATCGGCGCTGATTGAGGACTACACCCCTCAACTGTGTCTCGAATTATGTCATTCCGATGCTCTGAACAAAAGATGCGCAGGCTGTGTAATCAAGGGGAACAACATCTCGCTGAGAGCTGCGATGGACGCTTTCACGTTCTGCTCGCGGAATTTGAGCTGTGCTGTGGAGTGGTTGCAATCAGATGGAAACTTCAATTGCAATTGTCCACAAAGGTGCAGTGAGACGGTCGTGAAATACCAATCGTCTTTCGCCGCGTGGTCTACTGAAGACAGGAGCGACCGTCATCTCGTCAAAGTTTCGATATATTTCACAACAGTTTCTTGGGAACAGGTGACCGAGTTCCCGCTCATGTCCAGCATCGCCGCTCTCACCCTCGTTGGCGGTTTCCTGAACATGTACGTGGGACTAACATTTTTATCCCTGTATGAATTTATAGAAATCGGAGTCTTCATTTATGTTCGACTCAAATCAAAATACCAAGTTCGAAGGGGGGTGTAGAAACGACGACGAAAAACGCGGAAGCCCACGTGATACCGAGTACATAACTGAGAGTTTGGACTCCCCACTGTATACCCACTGTAATAAACACCTACCTTGCAAATGCCTCGCGTCCTTCGACCTCGGCAGACTCCAGTGTATGCTGCACGCTGCACGGATCTCGGGATGAAAACTGGGTCTTGGAGTTCATCCATTCTCTCTATCCAATCCCTCTATTCGATACCGAGCGAGATACAAACCTTGGCTCTTCGAAACTCAAAGCCGCTAATTATTCCGGTTCTGAGTCTCGTCTGCGGAATACCCTAAATCGGCGGATAGTTTTCATTCTGACTCGACCGGATGCCCCCCGCAGAGGCGAGCAGGGCCGGCCAGACCCTAGGACTCATTTCGCTCGATAAAAGCTACACTTTCTTAGCCGAAATAGTCTTCTGTGAATCTACAAGCTCACCTCTGGACTCCATAATATTCCTTTGGGAATAGTCGAGAGTCCGAGCCTCGCATGGGACCGCTGACGGGATCCTGATTCCGAGTCTAACGGCAGCGGCGTATTCTCAAACACGGTAGGGTCGCTTGTGTGCTTCGGGCATCGCATGAGTCAACGAATGCGTCTGGGAAATTCCGGAGGAGCGTAAAGATGGAAATCGGATCTCCATAATTTCCTACTCGGGATTCCCGCTCCAACGATACGGAAGGACCATTGGCTCGGATGATACTCGAGCAGAGATTGGTGTCAAATGAAATTTTCACTTTTTTCGTTCCTGGAAGATGGAAGACGAGACCGAAATCGGGTTCAAGTGCAAGCGATCTAGACTAGAAACTCCGGGAGAAAAATTCCCAGTCAGCGATACTGGTCGGCGCCTCCTGTCTCTCCTCTCGAAGCTACTCATCCTCCTCCTCGATACATTTCGCCCGAGGTTGTTCCTTCCCGAGGCCCTTGATTTCCATTCATTCTTCTCCTGGTCAGACCTTGCTTGTGAGTTAGGAACAGGTGGCTTTCTGAGGCTATGAACTCTCGGAATCCTCGGATTAACCGGAATCTCCGACCGTCCCCACTTTCTTCTGAATTCCCGTCGGCTCATCTCTCTTCTCGTCGAGTATTCTCTTCCCATTCTCTGAGCGTCCCGCTCCATGATTCACCTCGCCACTCAGGACGCGGGCGAAGGAATTCAGAAGAATGAGTGCGCGAAGAGAGGTCCAGTGGCCGATGCGTGGGACATCGGCTGATCCCGCGAGGAGAGTAACTCAGACGAGACCGATTCCACCGGATATCCGATGGACTTTCCGACGAGTATATTGTTCTCGATGGCTCTCCTCGTCTCGACGATATTGCCTCAATCCAACCTTGAAACTTCCGTTCTGCGGCGGTAGCGTATGCAAGAAGAGGACAACAAGCGGGATCCATATCGATTTTCAGTGAGACGAAGCCGCGTGCGTAAAGCAGATGAGCACGTCGGGACCGGTGTGAGTGAAACCAGTCAGTTATGGCCATCTATTACAGTGTTAGCCGGTGGATGGTCGTCTACGAGAGAATGCTCCGACAGGATGCGCACCGAGGACGAAGGCTGGGCATCGAGCAAATCGAAACAATAAAAAGGCAAAGTCCCGAGGGCTCTTGGGTCGGTTGCCGATGGCGCGTCGTACCGTCAGGAGTTCCGAGTTTGTAGCGATGTGTGGTCCCGTTTTCCAAGAGGAAAACCGTTGGCTTCCCGTCCGATTCGGTTCCCGAGTCTTCGGCGGTACTCCGGAAATGGCCGCGGTATAGACCGATATTTGCTTCGAGTGATTTTCGTATTCTTCAAGGTCCCGGTTCCTGAATCCCAAGACCTCAAGCTCATAAGCACGCCAATACTTTTTGTTCCATTTACGAACGCTCAGCTCCGATTAGTCGCTGGTGAGACAACGTGATTTCCTCCGCAACAATTACGTGCCTGAACGATAGCCCGCAGCGACAAGATCGATATTGGCTTGGGGTGGACTTACTTCTTTCTATTGCACATTGAACTCATGCTATTTAGGGTCGCGACGATAATATCGGGATATCAGTCAAGCTAGACGAGGAACCGTGGCTCTGGCAGGTCTGCAGTCTGACACGCGGGACGTCGATAGGACTCAACGTTTCAAAATACATATATCCGAGGCAGGATGGATTTCGCCACCGATCTGTTCAGCTGCAGTCCTGTGAAGAACAAGTGTGCTCGGCCAGGAATAGGAAAATCTCGCTTCCGTTGGTGAGACAAACCTCTAGGATTCCGCGGCTCCAAGGGTCTTTAAATCTCGTTTAGCTTCGTCTAACTTTTTATTAGACTTTTTCGGCTCATCAGGGCGAACAGATGGGAGTCGTCGGGAATTTTTTGGGTCGGGGGTCGTCTGTTTTCATAGCGCCATGGAAGCATCTGGCCCGCCTCAAATATCGCATGCCCCGAGCCTAATCGGAATATTGGAGCCCACAAATACCGTGTCTCTCTCGACAAGCTCGAGTCGGCAGCGAAAAAGGACGTATATGGAAGCGTTAGCAAGGACCAGCACTTGTCGGCCGCGGGTAATGAGCGGAACGACGACCCGTTCCCTTTATCGAATCTGAGGGTCGTCCCGAACAAAAGACATGCGAAGATGTCGACGGCTGGAGGACAAATAGGCTCCGAGTGAACGGACAAGCGACATTTTAGTCTAATTTGTTCCTGCCTGAGAGGATACAAGCGTGGTTCATGGAAAGCTCTTCAAGCAATATTCATTCCGGGCTTTTCCCGTCTGATGGGGGAACGGCAACCGTCAGACACGATCAGAAACGAAACTGGGACACTTGTGCGGAAACTCATGTCCTCTGTCTGCGGTTTCTGTTCTGTCCTTCACACCTAGAGCAACATTCTCGAAGAGACTTCCATACTTCGTTACCGAGTTGTTGTCGTCTTGTTATCGACGACTGAAAGTTCTCCCGGCCTCCTAGGCGAAGCTCCTCTCTCCTGCGATAGGATCATCATCGAGGTCATGCCTTCTCCTGACAGGCTGCCGCTTTCCTGCGGTGGGAACTTCCTCCTGTGAAGTAAGTTCTTCGGAGAAGAAAAAAGACATGGTTCCGATCGAAAATAGGAGCACCGAACCTTCCTAGTTCTTGAGGGATTCGATCGAAGGATATCGGTGTGGCCAAGTCACCTTTTGGCGTTAGAGGCTCCGGGGAACAAAGGAAGAGGATACATGGAAAACATTTCGTATCATTAGGAACGAGCGGCGAGGAGTTACAAAGTCGATCGCTTCCATCGGTTTCAGAGCTCAACAGCTCATCCGTTCTCGTCCCCCTTGGCAGCATGGGTGACGATCGGCGGAGAATACCACGCAGGACACACGTTCTACCGGCAGCCCGAGTCGGAGAGTCTCGCTCGGGAGCACGTCGACGGAGGGCTTCCGAGATATTACGTCTCAGAAGAATCTCTCGCCCTTCATCGTCTCCTCATCTGAATTCCAGTCTCCATCGTTCTCCGTCCGAGGAGACCCTCCCTGGATGAGAAGCGTCGAGAATCCGGGATCGAATCCTTCTCATTATCTCATTGCCGTGAGAATTTGTGCCCATTAACTGTTTCACGCTGTCATTTCACTCACTTAATACTTAATACTTTCGAAAATTAAGATTTCATGATGACAGCGGGAGAGATGCATAGACCTTGAGAGACCCTCCTCTCTGAGCGTGTCCCGATGGTGTGATCCACCGGGCCCACAGCTTGCGGATAACACAAGGCCAAAAAGCAGAAATGCAAAACTACCTAACCGCCTGCGGGCTCTCGCTGGTCGGCGAATGTACGCGGTCTCGTTAGGCAGGAAAGTTCTGGTTCGATAAGTAGGATAAGCATGATGAGATGACATCAAGGATACCTCGGCGGACCTTTCGTGAATAGATCCCGCTCATATTAGATACGAATTTACGAAGAGTCAAACTCAGGGAACAATCGATTTGGACTCAACAGCCGTCAGAATCGAAAGAGGCAGTGGTTCACCCCGCTCTGTGGAAAGAGGACGCTCCTCCGGTGTTTTGGGTTGGGTCTGGATGTGGACCGAATCTCAGCCGCGTGCCAAGGCTATCTGGGATCGGAAGTTCCCGACGGAGGAATTCTCGGATCTAGATTCCCCCCCCCATTCCACAGTCCTCTCCCAAATTCGGACATTCAGCAGAAGACTGTGGAGACGCTGATGTGTTCGTTCCCAGTGTTTCCGAAGGTAGCCGAGCTCCCCAGTCTGTGCTCCGGATTACATCCGGGGATAAATCCAAGAAGCTCGCACCGTCGGCGTCGCCTAATTCGCGTTCGAAGCGAACATTCCGTCCACGCACAAAGACGAGTCTCATTCCTAAGAGGAACTGTGGCTGCTTTCCGGAGTTTCGCGGCCGATCACGTCAAGGGAGTTTCAATTATTCTCAACTTTGAATCGTACTAGATCGAAACGAGGGCCTTATGCGCGAGGAAAGGGAATTGCGAGACTTCCAACGAGAAAGCGAGAGCCGTGCCTCAGCAAACCCTTCTCCTCCAACCGGAGCTAGTGAGTTTTGGAGAGGAGGGTTGTACCTATCCAATTTACACCTATACATATGCCCCGAAGTAAAGATTATCACTGGATGGGGAGCTCTTCTCGTGATTATAATCTGCGTCTGGCTCAGCTCTTATTCGAACTTGATTCCAACTCTCCTCACCAAGTCCGTGTTGATTCAGTTCATGGTTTCGAGACCCGTACAGACCTCCTCGGGAGGCCCCTGATGGGACTCGCTCCCCGCCATTCGCCGATCGCCTCCCATTTTCGTAGATGAGATGTACATGAGAGACTTCGGAACGCCCGGATGGAGGTGAGCGATACGAAGCGGATTAAGGAACGCTCGTCGGAACTTGAACGAGCGTTTCCCTCGAATTTACTCAGCCGAAGATTAATGAGCTCCGGCTCGATTTCAGAGATTCTCCGCGGCAGCGCAAAGGGCTTCCCACCGTCTGGGAAAGAAATTTCCGTTTCGTTCGGGAGAACCC